AACTCATCAAAAGACTCATTCTTATGGGACAAAAATCTAATCCAAGTAAACCTAGAGTAGTCATCGATAATCACAAATCCATTGACTTTCCCTCCTAAGCTGGCAGTGCTAATGGGTTCAAATAAATCCATGTGAATGACTTCTAAAGGTCTAGTGATGCTAATGTCCTTAATGGAGTGAAAAGTGGAGTGAACTTATTTTCCTAATTAGCAGACATCATAAAGGGTGATCTTTTAAAAACTTAAGCTTGGGGACACCTCTAACTAGGTCTTTCTAGGTCACTTTCCTAAGGACTTTTATACTGGCATGACATAATCTCCTATTCCACAACTAAGAATCATCAATAATAGTTTTTAAGAAAAATGAAGTAGCATATTCAATTTAAGAAAAATGAAGTAGCATATGCCACAACTAAGGATCTGCTTTCCCTGTAAAATGGTGCTATTATTTAAGCTTATGATGCAAGTGTTTGAAAAGAATTTTATGATGAAGCCTTTATCGCATAGCTGACTAATGCTGAGCATGTTTTCTTTCAGTCCATCTACAAACAAAACACTTTCAATCAAAAGGTTCTTGGAGGTTCCAATTATACTTGTGCCTCCCACTTTCCTAGTGGTGTTGTCTCCAAGAGTGACCTTACCTCAAGCCCTGGCCTCTAGCAAAATAAATTGATTAGCATCTCCAGTCATGTGTCGTGAGCATCCACTGTCCAGGTACCACATGCTCTTAGAAGGCCTTTTGTGAGAGCAAGCCTACAAAAAATTAAATGTCAAATTTAGAAACCCAAACTTGTTTGGGTCCCTTCTTACGAAAAGAAGAGTGCAATACATGTGTATTCTACTATGAATCTTATAATTTGGGTCTCCACACCCAATGCATACTACGGTGAATGGTGCAAGTGTGTGAGATGTGTCTTAGCATGCCACATGAAAAATATCTAACACCAGGAAAAAGATTTCTTAATCTATTCAGGTAGTGGTATTTCATTTTAAAGTTATGGAATGCATGCATTGGTGGTTTATTGTTTTCAAGCATTTTTAGATTTTTTAATCTTTTGCATTCTTTTTCTAAATTAGCATGAGATATTTTAAGGAATCATGTGCATCGTATAATTTAGTATGTTTTTTTTTATTTTTTGCATCAAATTCATCAAGTAAAGATATGTGATTGTTATCAATTTGGGAATGATCTTTTAAAAGGATTTAATACTATTTTTATAAATTTAAAAAATCCATTTTTAGACTACCATGCAATTTTTTGAGGTTCCTATATGATGCATGTATGTGCTCATAAATTTTTAATAATTGATCATAAGTTGGTTCACATACCTCTTCTTGGTAACTTTGACCAAGACAATCAGCTTTAAGATGTCCAGGCTTCCTGCATTCAAAGCAAACATCAGAAGAACTTTTATATTTTTTATTATTCTTACCTCTCTTACACTTCTGATGGTCTTTTTTATTCTTCCTTAAAAAGCTTTTGAATTTCCTAGTGATGAAGGCAACATCATCGTTCTCAGATCCAGAAGAATCAGTATTCGTATTATTGGCTTTTAGTACCATAGTTTTCTCCTTCTTCTTCTCACCTGTATAAAGATTTCTTTGGTTCACCCCTTGCTCGTAAGAAATCAATGAACCAAGTAAGTTATCGATCGAATAAGTATTTAAATCTTTAGATTCAATAATTGCTGTAATTTTATCATCAAAAGAAGAGGGCAAGCATCTTAAAATTTTATTCACTTTTTCATAGTTGGTGAGTTCTCTTCCTAAGGCATGCAAGGAAGTAACAATTTGAGTAAACCTTCTATACATATCAGAAATTGATTCATAAGATTTCATACAAAAAAGTTCATAATCATGCAATAAAATATTCAATCAAGATTGTTTAATTTCATTGGTTCCTTCATAAGTTACACATAATCTATCCCAAATTTCATCACTAGTTTCACAAGTTGAAACACGCATATAATCTTCAGATTTGAAAGCACAGAAAAAATAGTTCAAACATTTTGCATTAAGTTGTGCTAAATCTCTTTCATCAAAAGCCCATTCAGTAAAAGGAATTTCAATTTTAATGCTATTAAGTTCACGAGAAGGTGGTGTATAACCTTCTTTAACAAGCATTAACATACAATAGTCAATTGATTATAAAAATATAGACATGCGAGTTTTTCAAAAATCAAATGGAATATTATCAAACAAAGGTGGACGTGTAATAGAATATCCTTATGTTATGTTACGATTACCAAGTTAGCCATGAATCAAAATTAAAAAAAAAATTAACTTAATTTTATGATTCCAGCTCTTATACTACTTAAAAGTTAGTTAGGGATGTTAAGCCCTTATGAACTAGTCCCGAGACTAACCAAGAGAGGGAATGAATTGGTATTTTAAAAAACTTCTCAATCAAATCATGAACTTAAATCAAACACAATCCACCACAAAAAATAATGCGTGCGGAAATTAAATGCGTAAGTAAAAACAAAGAAAGAACGCATTGGATTTATAGTGGTTCGATCAAACCTTGACCTAAGTCCACTCCTCGGAGGAACCCTCCAAGTATTGCACTAAATTAGTGTCTCTTCTTTTTCCCCCACAGCTGGGAGGAGAAGCCCTTACATAAACTCCTTTCCACCAACCTCAGTGCGGCAGAGAACCGACTCTTTTTGCTTCCTTCTGAAGCAGCAGAGAACCCTACTCCTTTTGCTTCCTCCTTAAGCAGGAAGAGAACCTCTATCAATTGTTGAAGAAGACCTCCCTTGAGCCTTCAAGAACAAGGAATGGCAATTGGAGAAGATCCCTTGGAACCTTGCTTGGAGAAACCCTTGTGAAACCCCTCACAAGCTCCCCCTCATAAATTCCTCCCTCTCTCTCCCTCTCGTCTAGGCTCTCCCAGGTCAAGATAACATCAAAGGATCCTTGAGCTTGAGAAAATATTAGTCCTTTAAATAGATTTTCAAGAATCAACTTTATCGTCCAGGATGATATTTCTATCATCATGTACGATAAGTACAAATTAAGCTCAATCAGCCCATATGACTTGGGAAGATTAGAAGATTTTTTGTTCCTATCATCTAGGAAGATAATATATTGTCATGTATGATTAGTATAAATAGGGTAATATCGTCCTGAACATCTCTTTGAATAGATGATATACGATTTTGGTCGTCCAGGAGCAATCAAGGTTTTTGAACTGATCATCCTGGCAGATCCTGCAATCGTCCAGAACGATATGATCATAGCAATCAGCTTTAATTACTTTTCTTAATCACCAGATTAATTTAGGCATAATTGAACCCCATCGTCTAGGATGATATCCTTGATGATAATTAAAAAATAAAACTTCCTAAATAGATCTGGCAAAGAATTCATTCTGATTTGAGCATATCATCCCGGTCGATACAAAAATCGTCCAGGACGATCTGCTTAATGATGGCTGCCTTAACCAGGTTGCCCTAATTAGGGTTTCTAATTTTAATTGATCGTCCAGGACAATTTTAGGATCATCTCGGATGATGTTAGCAAAATAAAAAAACTCTAAGTCAGACAAAAAAAATTTACCCAAGTTTGTATGTGCAGGGTTACATATCATCAGGCACTACAAAGATTACAATTGACTAAAGAAAGGGAAAAAATACATTACAAATTAACTCAAACCTAGTATACCCAATCTTGAGCTAGTTCAAAATACAGTCTTGATCCTGTATACCTAAAATGTTAGTTGCCAAGCCAGTCTTAGTAAAACAGAAGTGCTTGTAATCATCAAAATTCTATTTTTGAAAATCAGTTACGCAACAACATTAACTTTATAAATTCAAGGAAGATAGAGAAGCTCCACAATTCAAGGAAGGATTTGGAAAAGATTTTAAAGATTTCGGGTGCTATGATTGGAGATGGTAGAAGGTGGTCGGTCATCCATGGATGACCGAAACACCAAATCTGTTTTATCTACCGCGAGTCCAATTATGTTGGATTCAAAAGGTAGATTCTTCTTCAAACACATCTCCCCTCACAATCTTTGGATTTTATAAGCTCCTCTTGTGATCAAAGAGGGAGGCTTATTGGCTAAACATAAGGCTTTGCCGGATTCTAGTAAAGGAAAAGAGGTAATTTTGGGTTCTACCAAGTTACCTAAATCTCCTTTATCGATTTCTTTTTTTGGAGCAAATGACAAAGAAGCTTCTTCTTCAAGGAGAAGTTTCGTTGATATTTTGAAGAATAATAAGGATATTGACATTAATATCAATAATCCTAATTTTTCTTCAAATTTGGATAATTCAAATGTGTGGATCAAAAAACCACACATTAAAATTAATTGGAATAATAATCTTGTTGAGATTGAAGATCCAAATGTTGTTAAACTGGATATGGAGAAAGTAAAATCCAATATTCAAGTTTTGAAAAAATCTTTGGTGGTTAAAATTCTTGTAAAAAATATTCCTTTCTCAAAATGTGCTATTGAATTAAGAAAGCAATGGAAGAAATATGGAGGATTCCACTTAACCTTGCTTGGCCTAGATTGGCTATTATGTTCATTTCAGTCTCATGAAGTCATGGAATAAGTTCTTAATGAAGGTTCATGGTTTGTAGGAGGTTTTGCAGTTGGGTTAGACAAATGGTCTCCTAACTTCTCTCCTATTTCATTAGAAGGTGTTTCTTCTCCGATCTGGGTTCGTCTTCCTCACTTACCCCTACACTACTGGGATGAGTCCAATATCATTAGAATTGTCTCTAGACCCATTACTATTAGATGGTAATATGCTTAGGTTGGGAAGAAGAGAATTTGGTAGAGCATGCATTCGAGTTAATTTGAACTCTAAACTCCCTTCTGGAATATGGGTTGAAGGGTTGCTTGGTAGATTTTTTCAAAAGTTTGAATACAAAAATTTATCTTCACTTTGTTTCAAATGTGGGAGAATAGGACATATTGATTCAGTTTGTCCTAATGTTGAAGAAATTCCGTCCACCTCAAACCAATCTCAAAATCAGTATGGTCCTTGGATGCAAGTGAAATTCAAAAACAAGAAGAAATCAGTGAGGAATCATTTTAATTCCAAGAATTTTTCAAAATCAGGAAAATCAGGAACGGGTTCTCTTACTGAACCAGATGGAAATATTAAAACATTGGCTGAAGAAAATGATCTAAAACTGATGTCGGATCCATTGGAAGGTGCAGGTTTCCATTGCCAAAGTGAAGAAGATGCTAGATTCAAGGAAGGTGACGAAGATGCTGGATTCAAGGAAGGTGACGAAGAGGAGGTTATCCAGAAATTGAAATTCAAAATGCAACAGCTTGTTTCTCGGGATTTTTTTTGTGATATTAATTCATTTAATGCCTTGGCTGATGTGGATAACATGGATGCTGATTTATAAAAAAAAAACTGATAAGATTGATACTGGAATTGTTGAAGAATTGAAAATTCAAAATTTAAATTTTGAAAGTTCAAAAATTCAGATAGTAGCTGATTCTTCAGTTTCTATTAAAGTTGTTCAAGAGGTTCTAGAACTGGTTTTCTCTCCAACAGACACACCTGTAATTTTTAAAATTCCATAAAGTTTGGAGGCTGGAAAGAAGGATGTTCAAATTTTGGCTTTAACTCCTACAAAGGTTACCGTTTCTCCTCAAGATGCTGATTTATTGGAAGCTCACAAACCAGAATTTGAATTAAAAAATTTTGGTATTCAGGAGAATTTTCTAACATAATCTGTTATTAAATCTCCCTCAACAGCTTTGGCGGCTGATGTTAGTGTTAATGGTAATTACACTAATACTTCAATTCATGATTCTACTTCTCCTCCATCAGCTATTAGTTTGAATTTCAAGAGAACTATTCTTAAAAAAGATAAAAACTTTTTTGCAAAAAGAATGATCGTCCCGGACCTAAGCATGTTTTATTCAAAGAACTTCAAGCATTGGGACCGGTGAAAGAACTACCTAGAAGGAAGATGGCTTAACATAAAGAGAAGAATGGTTTGAAAGTTTCTTCTTCCCATTTATCTCACTAAATGCAAAAGATTTCTCCCATGGATAGCAACACAACAGAGAATTTCTTGAAGATAGAGCTTATGATAATTAAGTTTGGCATTTTAATACCAAACTTTTGGAATTTAATTTTGATTTATAATTTTCTTTTTAGATTTTGTTTCCTTTTCCTTATCTTAATTGGTTATTTTAAACTTTGCCGAAATGTTTATGAGATCTTCACTATTTCTTATTCTCTAACTAGATGGGAACTCTAGGATACTAATCAACCCTCGGGTTGTCTTATATTTTGGTATCCCCTGCATCTCAATAGTTTCAAAATAGGAGATAGTAGATTTCATTACATTTATAATAAGTTTAAATTAACAAATTTAATTTTAATAAGATCCCTTTTTATGTTAAAAAAAGGATCATTAGTTTCTTTTACCTAGTTTGTATTAGGTTATCTACTTTTTTGTTTTAATGCAATTTCTGCATTTTCTAAAAAAAAAAAAAAAAAAAAGAACATTGACTTTATCCTATATAACTTAGTGACACTATTAAGGACAAAAATTGAGGACTTGTATAGAAAACTTAGAAATTTGTGATAATTAGGATGCATGTTCTCTTGACTTGAGATTTTGAACAAATAAACATAGTAACATCACCCCTTCATAGAAATTATCTCACTGATTTTTAGAGTCCATTAGGCCTCCTAATTCTTTCACCCTTCTCAAATTCCTGTTAATTTACATAAACAGCAGAATTCTTTTAACAAGAATTGGAAGAAGAAGGAAGATATTAGTAAGACTGATAAAGCAGAGAAGAAGAACTCAAACAACGTTCCTACTTCTGACGAAGATCATTTGGTTAATATTGTGGAAGATGAGGTATCAGTTAAAAGCTTGACAAAGGATGACAATGTATCTGTATCCCATGATGAAGATAGCAAAGTTATTACTATTAACAATAACAGATTCAGTTTACTCAGCAATCAAATAGAAGAAGGGGAATTTGTACCAGAATTCTCGGCTCCAGTTCAGGAACCTGTAGATCCTCCAGACAGAAATCTAAAAGAATCCAGCTTTGCTAATACCCCTGAAGTTCAATGCAGTGAAGATGTTAGCAACACAGTTAAGAAGAAAAAATCAAAGCAATTGAAGGACTTGGGACCTGTTAGCTTAAATTTAAGGATCAGGAAGATGGAAATGGCTACAAGAGGTAATTTGGGGACTCAATCCCCCCAAATTCATTAATGTATTCATTTGCTTTTGGAATTGTAGAGGAGCAAAAAAGAGGAGTGCTTCTCTATACCTTAAAGAATTTGTGAAATTGCATAATGTGGTTTTAGTTGGTTTATTGGAAACCAAATTAACTTCACTTGATAGGAGAGAAGTTAATAATCTTATTGAAGATAGATGGGACTATACTATAATATCCTCTAATGGATTATCAGGTGGCATAATTATGTTATGGGATACTAATGTAGCTGTTTTTAATATGATTGATTCTTCCAATCAATGTATTATTGGAGACCTATTGTTCAACAACAACAATAAATGGAGAGTGGCTGCAGTTTATGCAAACAAAGAATGTAGTAAAAGAAGAGAACTTTGGGATAAGCTGGCTATTCATTCATCTGTTGAAGACCCGATGGTAGTTGCTGGAGACTTCAACTGTCTCACTTCAATAGAAGACAAAAAAGGAGGAAGAAGGTTCAAATTTACTCAAGGACCTAAGGAAATGGAAGCATTCTTCACCATCAATGATTTTCATGAGGTAAATTTTATTGGCCCCCGTTTCACTTGGTGCAATAACAAAATTGGTGGAGCTCGTATTCTAGAAAGGCTCGACAGGTGTTTTCTCAACTCAAATGCTTTAAATTTATCTTTTGACGTGGTGGTTAAGCACTTAGCTAGAATTGCTTCCGATCATTGCCCTATCATTCTAAGCATCCGCTCATTTAAACCTCCTCAAGTTAAAAGGTTTAAATTTGAGGACGTTTGGACCTCTTATCCAGTGGCTATTAAGGTGGTCAAGAAGGCTTGGGCTATCAATTATAAGGGAAGTCTTGCTCATATATTAAATTCCAAATTCAAAAGATCTTTAAAATCTCTTTTTTATTGGAGCAAAGCCAAAAAAATCAGTCTTAACCTTGCTAAAGACAAACTTATGGAGGAAATTCTGGACCTTCAAAATCTGGAAGCCGAGAAAGGAGAACTTTCTAATGAAGATTGTTGGAGACTCAAAGCTAAAGTGCTGGAGCTCAATTCTACATTAGCTAGACTCAACACATGGTGGAGACAAAGAGCTAAAGTCAAGTGGATGAATGATGGAGATTGTAATTCAAAATTTTTTCACTCATATGCAAGTGCTAAAAGAAGAATGAATAACATAGTAAAGCTCAAGGATGAGGAGGGGAATGTTATGGAAGATAAGAATCAGATAGAAGATATTCTTATCAAATTCTTCAAGCAAAAATGGAGATATAGGGATAGCTCAAGAGCTGGATGGCCCAATTCAAATTACAGCTTGAATGAAAGCGACAGAACTTGGCTGGATAGAGGATTTTCGGTGGAGGAGGTGGAGCTAGTCATCAAAGATTTGGGGTCCAACATTGCACCGGGTTGTGATGGTATCACATATTCTTTCCTAAAATCTTATTGGGATATTATTAAACTTGACTTTATAAATGCCATCAATTTTTTTCTGACGCAAGGAGAAATGGATAATACTTGGAAAGATACTCTGATAGTCTTAATTCCCAAGATTTTAAATCCTCTGTTGCCTATAAACTTCAGACCAATAAGCCTTTGCAACTCTATTTACAAAGTGGCGGCAAAAGTTCTTCATAATAGGCTCATCATGATTATTCCCAAAATCATATCCGAGGAACAAGCAGCTTTTATACAGGGGAGATCAATTTCTGATCATTTATTAATTGCTCAAGAGGTATTTCATAAATTCAGATTCTCAAATTCAAACAAAGGTTTGGTAGCTTACAAAATAGATATGGAACAAGCTTATGATTCTATGAGTTGGGATACTCTTGAAGGAGTTTTAAAATACTTTGACTTCCCTACTAAATTCTCTAAATTGATTTTGGAATGTGTTTTAAAGCCAAGGTATTCTATCATTATAAATGGAAGTCAAACTGATTGGATTTCAGCCATGAGTGGCTTTAGGCAAGGATGCCCATTGTCACCATTTCTTTATATAATGTGTTCTCAGCTTCTTTCCAATGCACTTGCAATGACATCTATTGGGCTGAACATCTCCTCTAAGGGGCCCCGGATTTCACACCTGCTGTATGCAGATGATGTTATAATGTATTCGGAAGCAAACAAGAAGATGGCGTTGGAAGTGAAATGCATTCTATCCAATTTCAGCAATTGGACCGGGCAGAATGTGAATCTGAGGAAATCAGGAATTTTATTTGGGAAAAAGGTGGATAGAAGAAGGGGGAAATCTATCACCAGAATCTTGGGAATCAAGGAGGTTAATGAAATAACATACCTCAGAATCAAGATGGCTATAAGAAGACTAAAGGCTGAAGATCATAAATTCATTATTGAGAAATCTTTGAGAAAGATCAACACGTGGGGAAGCAAAACACATTCCTTGGCTGGAAAAATAGCTCTTGTAAAGACGGTCTCATTGGCTATTCCTACATTTTATATCTCTCATTCTTTAGTTCCTCAAATTATTCTTAAAGAATTCAATAAAATTTGTAGAAATTTTATTTGGAATAAGCCCAATGGTGAAATTGGCATTCATTATGTTAAATGGGAGGAGCTTTGCAATCTGATAATCAAAGGAGGTAGAGGTCTGTTCTCTCCTACTAACAGGATAGCTGATTTAAGAGCTAGAATTACATGGAGGTTCTTTAATGAAAAAACATTTCTATTCAAAATCATGGCCACAAAATATGGCTACAGAATTGATGAAGGAAGATACAAGAAGAACCTTTCTCCCTCTTGGAAAATTATTAAAGACGGTAGTAATGCTCTCCAACCATTTTTAAAATGGAGTGTGGGAAATGGTTCATCTATAAAAGTTTTCAAAGACATTTGGCTACTTGATAGAAGACTAAATGAGTGGCCTACTTATGTTATCCCTCAAGAAGAAGAGGAGTTATTATTGGAGGTATTCATAGACGAAATTAATTGGGATATGGCTGAATTGAGAAAAGTTTTCAATGAAGAAATGGTCGAACTCATTACTCGAACAACTCCCATAAATTCCCAAAGGCAGATGGATAAACAAGAGCTCATTTATAAAGGGGCGGGGAAGACTATTTCTGGAATGATAGCTGAATCTAGATTTAAAGATATGCCGGATTGTAGATTTTCAAAATGGCTGAAAAAAGCAAAACTCAACCCATGGATATATGTCTTTTGCTGGAGATTATTCAAAGGTGCTATTACTACAAATCAATTTCTGGCTTTTAGAAGACTGCAGGAGGAAGAAGATTGTCCTAGATGCATGAACGGTATTGAAGATATAGACAAAATCATATGTAAATGTTCAAAAATCAAAGAGGTCTTCAATCAAGTTAACAAATGGGGTTTTGGGATCCCTCTCTTTGAAAATTTACATGACTGCTTCAATTGGATGGATCATATTTCAGCTAATAATGGTATGATTTTGAATTTATTCTTCAATGTCTTATTTTTCTCTTGGAACGCTATAAAAAAGTTCACCCATGACAAGGAGAAAGTTGGAGCAATCTCGGTAGCAGCTGAAGCAGTTTGTTTCTCCTCTATTTCTAAATTGATGGCTAATCATTATTCGGAAAAATGGGATGTTAACCAGCCTATTAGGCTGTCCAATTCTTGGCATCCCCCTCCACCCGAATGGTTAAAAATCAATGTTGATGCCTCTCTAGATAGTACATATAGAGCTGGAATAGGAGGAGTCTTTCGTGATAGAAAGGGAAGGTTTCTATTGGCATTTGGAAGGAGATACATTCACTGGGATATCTTTCATTTGGAATTGCTTGCAATTAAATCTTTAAAAGACATTATGAAAGATTGGATGTTCAAATTTAAAGGAGTTATCATTGAAGGAGACAATTCGAACGTCATTAAAAGGCTTCAAAAGGCAAGGAACAATGAGTTCAAGAATGAAGATGAGTTCAACTTTTTCTCCGAATTTAATTTTGTTATTTTTTCTCTTGTTCATAGAAGTATAAATAAGCTAGCTGATTGGTGTGCTAAGCATGGTTCGATTAACGATTTCTTTTGGGAAGACTTTTGCTTGAATAAGATTCCTCCTTCATTTGCTAAATTGTTGAAGGAGGAATCAAGTTTGTAGTCTGTTCTTGTGACTTTTTGATTTTATAAATGCATTTATTGCTCTCTTCAAAAAAAAATAGCCCAGTCCAAATTTCCAAAATTCTAAACCTTTCTAATACAAATGGCCATGCTGCTACTATATGCCAGATACTATATATCTCTATGTATTTGATTGACGACTAGCCTTAATCGAAAGTTCTCTCTCATTATCAAGAGGAGTAATTAATTATAGGGGCTTGCGCCTATAGGAAACAAAAACTTTGATCATAAAGTCCTCACAAAATGAGGGTAAAATCTCTAGGTAGTGTCTTATCTTTTTTTTTTTTGTTGAGAAAATGCTAAGTTGCATTAGTAATAAAGAAATAACAACCTAATACAAACTAGGAAATAAAAACTAAAATATCCTTGATCAAGAGAAAAAGGATCCTTATTGAAAACAATTTTGTTATCATCAAACCTAATAATTTGAAATAAAACCCACTGTTTCCTATTTTGAAACTGTTGAGATGCAGGGGATACCAATAAATTGAAACTACCTGAGGGTTGGTTAGTATCCCAGAGTTCCATCCGGTTAAAAATAGGATATAGTAACGATCCCATAAACAAATATAATAAGTTTAAAAAACAAAAAAGCAAAAAAGAAAAAAGAAGCAATAAAAGAAAAACAAAAGAAAATTACAAAAAAGATAAGACAATCTCATAATACCTATGAAAACCAAAGATATGTATTTTAGATGTCTTTTCCAAATACCAATTCTGTAGTACCAATCAAAATAATTGGAAAATTCTTTGAGTAGAATTTCCATCTTAATGTCTCTTACGGCATTGCATATTGAGATGAGAATTTCGGGTAACATATTACTAAAATGTGTGGGAAGAACTTTTCAAATCGTTCTTCAATCTTTGATCAGTAATCCTCCTTCTAGTTTGATCTTTCACCAGACCTAGCTATTGTAGTTCTTTGAACAGCTTGTGTTTAGAACCGGAAGGAAATAGCTCCAACGAAGAACCTTTTTTATTCTTTAATAAACCAATTTTTTTGAATTTCAGACTGATTGAAGAAGAAGGAGAGATGGAATTAGAAAAGACATATCTTATTTTATCATTAATAGAAAAATTACCAGAAGTATTTGCAGCCTTAGAAGGAGTCAAAAACAAAATTTTCTCCTTCTCAAACTTCTCCATAACAGCCTCCATCGTTTGTGGGATTTGAATATTCAAATCCTCGGCTATCTTAGGCATACACGTTGGAATAACAGCAATTTGTCCAACTGTATTATTTATAGAAAAATCTGGATTTAACTCCTCAACAGCCTTATCTGCCTCCATGATTTGAGGGATTTCAAAATTTGAATTTTGAAATTCCAAAATTTCAGCAATACTATGTTGAATTTCAGTAGAATCATCCTCATCCGTTGGAATTACCAAATCAACTTCAGTAATTTTATCTTTAATTTCAGCATTCAACGAACCCGATTTATTGTTTCAAAATTTGTATTGTGAGCAATATCCGGCTCGATCAACAAATCTGAATTAAGGCTAACAGCCACTTCATCTCTTCCCTTAATTTCAGCAGTATTTTCTACCAAATTTAATGCTACTTTCAAAGGGAGGCGATCTGAATTAGAACCACCATAGAACCGACGAACTGGTTGAAAATCTGCACCATGATTTAAATGATAATCCCTCTTAACACTTTTAGTCTTTCTTTTGGATTTGAATTTGACATGCATCCAAGGTCCGTAAGAACTATCTTCAACTAATAAAGGTTCTTTGGGAACTTCCTTATTAATAAGATCTGAATTTTGAAAACCATTTGGACATACCACACCTTTATGTCCAATTTTTCCACATTTGAAGCAAATAGAAGATAAATTCTCAAATTCAATTTTTTGAAAAAATTTGCCATGAATACCTTCAACCCAAATACCACTAGGAAGCTTAGAGTTTAATTTTACACGAACACAAGCTCTAGCGAATTCCCTTCTCCCCCATCTAAACATGTTTCCATCCAATAATAAAGGAGTCCCTATACTCGAAATAATTCTCGTAATGTTGGTTTCCTCCCAGCAGTGTAATGGCAAGTGTGGAAGATGAACCCAAATGGGAGAAGAAATCCCATTCAAGGAATAAGGAGAAAAATTGGGAGTCCATTTATCTAATCCAATGAAAAAACCTCCCACATACCATGCACCTCCATTGAGAACTTCCTCTATAGCTTCCTGAGATTGAAAAGAGCATAGGAACCAATCTAATCCAAGAGAAGTAATATGGAATCCTCCAAACTTACCCCATTGCCTCCTTAATTCAAAAGCACAACTGGGGAATGGCAAGTTTTTGCAAGGGATCTTTACTACCAATGAATTTCTTAGAACATGAACATTGGATTTTTCTTTTTCCAAATCAAGTTTAACCACATTAACATCTTTGCTTCCTTCATCTATTATAGATGAATTAATTTTAATGTGTGGTTTTTTAATCCACACATTAGAATTATTCTAATTATGATCGATGCTACCTGAGGTTGAAGCCTCCAAATCATTGGCTCTTGGGATCAAAATCGGCAAAGATGAACAAGACTTACTTGTCATAGCATCCAAAACTTCTTTTCCTTTACCACTCACCACCAAAGATTTCTTTTTAGAAACCAATCTTCCCTCTCTAATCACTAGAGGAGAGTTAAAAAAAATTAGAAAAACTGCGATTGAATGCAAAACTACCTTTTGTATCCAACAAAGTTGGACGCATGGTAGATCTAAGGGAATTGGTGTTCCGGTCGTCCAAGGATGACCGGCCACCATTCTCCATTTACAATGAATGCAACCGAAAATCATCTTCCAAATCCTTCCTCAATTTGCAGAGCTTCTCTCTCTTCAAATGTTTGCTTCGGATGAATTCGTGGTAGATTCATTAAAAATAATCTATGGATGTCAATCAAGCTTATTATGAGACATCTGCCTTCTAAAATTTGTCCCAAAACTTAATCTGTTAAAACTCTCCCCTAAGAAAAACACACCAGGCGAAGGTCGGGGCCAATATTTTGGAGCCCACAATTATAAACTAAATACACATGTCATCGATTTGTAGCATATTTATGAATTATTTTTAATTATATGAGTACCTTATTTTTCTAATTGAAGGCATATGCCTCAAGTCTTAACCCTCACCTTGTTAAGGTAAAATGCCTCACTAATGTCATCATTTTAAACCTTGAAGTAGAGAAACCTTTTTGAATAAAGAACTAGTACCAAATTCTCACCCTAGTTTGTATGCTAACACAATGTCATATTACTTAACTTAAGTATGAACCTAGAGTTTACCATACTCCCAAAAGCCACATATAATTAAAAAAAAGTAATAATAATAATATTCAACACCAAATTGTTTTGGAATAGCCAATATTTGGATTTGCAAGTTAAGCACTTCTTTGTGCTCATTAAATTGCACCTTCCATGTGCAGAAATGAATAAAATTTTAAAATGTTACATGAAGATGTTAAACACTAATAATATAATTGATTGAATTTTAATGTTTTCTCAATCTTCATTACTAAGAAAATTTTTAAATAATGAGAAGAAGGTGAGAGCCCATAGTTCAAATCACCTTCATCAATAACACAACCTAAAATTCTCAGTTATGATTCTATGAGCCTACACCTCTATTTTTTGTCTTCCTAGTTTGTTATTTCTTGCAAAAAATATAGAAATGGATTCAAGATATTACATGTGTAAGAATTGATTATTACAAAATGCCAGTTTTCTTGAAGATCACATCTTATAAATTTATAATTTGGAATGACAATGGCTGAGCAAAGTACTAATCCATGAAAGGAAAAAATGTTCAAGAATTCTTATCATGTAACAACAAAATGGGTTAAAAAAGGGTTGCAAACAATTTATGTGACGAGCAACCATTGTGGCACTGTCTACACTTTAATAATCCAAATAGAGTTGCCAACAATTTTACCATCATTTTAGCTAGCCTAGCTAAGCCTTAGCATAGTGTTTGCGAATAACTAATTATTGATACAATAACTTTACAAAAGCATATTTTCATTGATGAATTTCTTCCATCATTATTTGGGTGAATGATTCCATAATGTAATTGGTATGTAGGTCCCCATTGGATGAGAGATTCACTAGTTTTTAATACAAAGTGAATTTTAATAATTTTGGTTTCGTGATTCTCCACTTATATCTTACAAGTTTTCAATCATAGTAATGTGATTTATCTTACTATCTATATGTAATAATGCTTCTTTTTTTAGCTATATCAAAATGATCAAAATGATTAATTTTAAAAAAATTACATCTAATATTTTAAAACTACAAAAATGAAAGAGTATTTGTTATATAAAGGACAAGCAATTTTTTTTATGCATTCCAAATAATATTTGATATTTTTTATCTTAAGAAGAGTAACAGTACTTAAATTCAAAAAATAAAGTACATAAAATCATAGTTAAAACGACATTTAGCACCATCATGTTAAGAGAGTTGATATTTGCATGTTTTATCTTCTTGCAACTTGTATAGTTTTGATGATTCCAAATATTATTGTTTTAAGCTTTATTTTCTCCGAACTCTTTTTGGAAAAATTATTTTTGCTCTTGTGTGGACTAACATTTCAGGATAATCAAACTCCAGACTAATGAAGACTTCAAATTAAAATTCAGCATGAGATAGTTTGTAATTTTTATTGTAATTAAGTTTAAGAAAATATGATTTTAATTGAATAAGCTTAGCACACACACACTTGAGGTGATCTTTAAAAAATCACACTAATCATACGAGATGAACCACATTTGTACGAGATGATCAAGTTAGTTAATCCCTTCGGAAGAGCAATGGAACGAATAGAAAGTGAAAATTCGTCAAGACGAATTTTCTAATTTTTTCAGGAACTATCTGCTCTGGATTCTTACTTTGTGCTGATAGTCCAGACGATTCATCTTGTTCGTGCCAGGATGAAACTCCAGGGAAAATTTTCATCCAGACAAAATTTTATGTTTGTGCCAGGATGAAACTCTCGGGAAAATTTGTGTCCAGACGAAATCCTATGTTTGTCCCAGGATGAAACTCTCGGGAAAATTTTCATCTAGATGAAATCTTATATTCTTCCCAGAATGAAACTCTCTAGAAATTTTTGGTCCAGACGAACTCTTATTCGTCACAGGACAAATTGTTCTGTCCCTTGAAATTTTGAGAACGTCCTGCAGTTTGTCGAAACCAACTGTTGATATAACTGTCCGTCCCAGGACGAACTTAGTTCGTATGGGATGATGTTCATGTATGAAGTCACCTCATCCCAATGCACGTAAGGAATCATACGTAATAATTTTACACTGTTCGTATAGGATAATATTACAATCGTACAGGACGATCCTGTTCGTATTGATTTGAAAATCAGCAGTTTTTTGACGGTTTTTCATGCCTTTCATATAAAAGGTCCTTTGTAAACTGTCACTTAATCTTTTTGCTTACTGATCTTCATGTCAACTAATGGGAGAGTCAAGGTGAGAGAGTGTTTGAAGGAGGATTCTTATTATTGGAGCGTGAAGGATTCACTTGGTACTCAAAGGTAAGAATCTGCACTTGTGATTTATGATTACTAGCTTCACTCTTTTCTCTGATCCTTCTAGATTTCTTGTGAGAAGATCTATCAAGGAGATCCGGTTCTCTGTCGACACTTTGTGAGTGTGAAAGGACGAAGGGTTCTCTACCTACACTTGGAGAGTGTGAATAGCCGAAGGGTTCTCTGCCCACAATTGGAGAGTGTGAAAGGACGAAGAGTTCTCTGCCTACACTTGGAGAGTATGAACAGCCAAAGGGTTCTCTGCCCACACTTGGAGAGTGTGAAAGGATGAATGGTTCTCTGCCTACACCGGGAGAGTGTAAAAGGACATACGATTCTCTGTTAACACTTGGAGAGTGTAAAAGAACGACAATTTTCTACCGCACCGGGTAGTGGTGGAAGAGAGTTTTGTAAAGGCTTCTCAGCCTTGTTGTGGGTGCAAAAGGAGAGTCACTAGTGGTATTAGTGCAATACTCAGAAGGTGCGTCCGGGGAGTGGATGTAGGTCATGTTTGACTGAACCACTACAAAACTTGTGTCTTCTATTTTTTTCCACTGCTTTTGTTTTTAATGTTTTAACTTATGGTTAAAAAATGTTTTCTACAAAATTCACTAAAGTTATTTTCGGTATAAAATTTTTAAAAGAGGGATAAATTTTTAATTACGAATTCACCCCCCCTTTTGGTTAGCCGCTGGGACATAAGTTTAGGTTTAACAACCTTATTCATATTAAACAAGTTTCAACAAGTGGTATCAGAGCTTTGTTTCAAAATTATAAGTTTAGACTACTTTTTGATTAACGATGGCTACATTTGAAAACCAAAATACACTTGAGGGTTACTCTATAACTAGACCTCCATTGTTCGATAATATTCCTTTTGATTTTTTGAAAAACACGCATGTCTATATTTATACAGGCACTTAATTACCGTATGTGGATCTTAGTTCAGAAAGGGTATACAAAACCAACTAGACTAGTTGACAGAGTTAGAGTTGGAACACCTTTTGTGAACTGGATAGTAGAAGAATGTGACTGAGCATAACTAAACGCCAACTGCTTCAATAGTTTCTTTTGTGCTCTTAAATCAGAAGATTACATGCGGGTTTCTACTTGCAAGAGTGGAGAGGACATATGGGATAGACTTTGTATAACTTATGAGGTTAAGAAATTTAGACTTAATATCTTGTTGCATGATTATGAACTATTTTGCATAAAACCAAATGAATCCATTTCTGATATGTACATAAGATTCACACAAATAGTCACTTCTTTACATGCATTGGGTAGGGAACTAACGAATTCTGAAATGGTTAATAAGATACTTTGTTATTTGTCTACTGCTTATAATGTTAAAATTACTGCAATTACAGAGTCTAAAGATCTAAACATTTACTATATTGACAATCTTCTTGGTTCGCTAATTGCTTACGAGCAAGGAGTTAGCCAAAGAAAGATTGTTGCAGGTAAACTACGAAGGGAGAAGAATATAGCACTAAAAGTGGAGGAATCTGAGAGTGAACACTCACAACCCTATGATGAAGATGACATCGCATTAATGACTAGACAATTCAAAAGCTTTCTGAAGAGGAAGCAGAAGAGACGCTAATAATGAAATCGAGATAAATTTAATAGGAATGTCAAGGTTTCAAATGATGTTATTTGCTATGAGTGCAGAAAACCTAGACATATTAAGATAGATTGCCCAAAACTCAAAGCCACTCATAGAAAGGAGACGTAGAGGAGAAACCAATTGAGAAGAAGGGCAAGAAGAAATTCTAAAGAGCTTTCTGGGCGGACTCAGTTTCTGACTCGTTAAAAATAGAAAAGGAAGAAGAAGTCACTAATCTGTGCTTAATGGCTGATAATCATGATCAGTCAGATCAAGAAGAGGTATGTGACTTGACTTACAACAAACTTTTTGAAGTTTCTGAACACATGCATGATGCATATAGAAAGATAAAGAAAATGCATACTAGTCTGAGCTTAGAATTTGAGGAACTACAAAAGGAACATGAAATCCTTAAGAAATATCATGCTTTAATTGATGACAACCACATGAAATTACTTGATGAATATGACGACTTGAATAAAAATCATGAATGTTTAAAATCATTCTATACAGAACTTGAAAAAGAATTTAAAAATTTTAAGGATGAATCTATGAGCAAAATTTATAGATCTAATTATACAAATCGAATTTTAGAAGATATGAATTTATATTACATATTGATGATAAAAGCTCATGAGGATAATAAATTACCCCCTAAATTTGAAGATTTCACTTATCCTATTTTGTATCCTAAATTTATACAATCCCTTTTTTTTTTTTTTTGAAGAAGTGCATCACAATTGTATTAAGTAAAAAAGAGGCTAATTATAATTGATAAGAAGAAAAAGAGTCACATTCCTCCTTGATTGAATTAAATAACAAGGGAGGAATGTTATCAAAAGAGAAACTATAAAAAAGAAACAACTATTTAAAGCCATAGTAGCACATAAATTGGCTACCTTATTACATCTTCTATGAACATGTTGGAAAACTACTTTATGAAAATCATTAAAAAATAGAAGCTCCTCCGAAGGCCAACTATCCACAATCCACTTATTATTTTTGAAAGAATCTTGAATGAACTTAATAATATTGAGGTTGTCACTCTCAATAATCACCCCTTTGTACTCAAGCATCCAACTCCTAATGTATTCCCTAATCGAGAATACAGCCTCCAATTCGAGTTTGGTAATGTCCCAATGGACTCTATTTTTCCCAAAAGCAAGAATAAACCTTCCCTTATGATCTCTGAAGATGCCACCGATACCAGCACAGTTAGATCTAAGCAATGACGCATCTACATTGATCTTCATCCAGTCTTTCGGAGGGGGGCACCAAGACTCACGAGACTCCCTAAGGAGATTAGTTCCCCAGTTGGAAAGATGTGGACTAGCTTTAGTAATGGCCAAAGACAAAGCATCTGAAGCTACCACAGAAGAAGGCAAAGCATCTTTGCCATGTTTCACTTCATTCCTATTCTTCCAAGAAAGATAAACAATAGTGCAGTATATTTTAACAGTACCGGAATTCCGAGAAGTTAGTCTTCTTAACTCCTGCAAACAGCTATCTAGAGAATGGAAAACTGGAATGGAAATGCCCCAATCCAGTATCTGGTTAAGAACTTCAACCATAAATTTGCAATGGACCATAATGTGTTCATAACTCTCTACAGCATTACAACCTCTAGCACAAGAATAATCCACAACAATCCTGTGGTAATTAAGGTAAACATTCGTGGGAATTGCAAATTTCCCAAGCCTCCACCAAAAAATCTCAACTTTTTTTGTTGAGTTTGACTCCATATTGAATTTACAATTCAAAATATACTCTGAAGACAGAGCAGACACAGACTTGCTTGAGTACATTCTCAGCAACTCCCTCCGGTCCTCCAACCCAGAATAAATCTGGATTTTGCTGATCAACAGTATGAGATCAGGATGGAAAACTTCCTGAAGTAACGCATAATTCCATTGGCCTTCATTCAATAGCAATTGGTTTACATACATTCCTTCCAAAGCAAAACAATCCACAAATGTAGGCCACCTGCTAATGCACTTGTCTAATATCCAGATATCATTCAGCACATTGACCTTATCCCCACTGCCAATTACCCATATGGTTATGTTCTTCAGCTGTCTTCCCCCATCAAGCAGAATTTTCCATGCATTTGACGCTACCTTTTTGTGCGTACCAATCATTATAACATCCCCATATTTGTGCTTGATAGTTCTGTGGCAAAGAGTATATAGTTTCTGAAAAAAATCCCAAGCCAACTTCAATCTCAAAGAACTAACCCTCATAGCAGGAGATTGAAGTCCCATACATCCCATACTTCTCGGTTTGAACAATTCTTCCCAAGCCACGTAGTGCATACTACGATCTCCATTTGGTTTATGCCAAATGAAACTTCTACACAGTTTCTCCATCTCATACAACACTTTTTTAGGAACTAATGAATGTGTTACTAAAAAGTTTGGCATAGACATCAAAGAGCTGCTAATGAGAGTAATCTTACCTCCCAAAGATTGTGACTTCTTGCCCCATGCATCGAGCCTATCCATGACATTGCTCAACACATCTTGAAAATCGGCCATCTTTAATCTATTAAGGGACATCTTAATCCCTAGGTAGCTCATCTCCATAACAATTTTGTAACCAAACAATCTGGTAATCTTCTTCTTTATTGGATAACCAACCACCTTACCAAAGAGAATATGAGATTTACTAACATTGATCCTTTGGCCCGTCTATTTACAAAAATCTTCAAAAATAGTCTTCAAAGCTTTAGCTAAACACATGGAGGCATGAGAGAAGATTAACACATCATCTGCATAGAGAAGATGTGTAATCCTAATGCCTCAAGGAGAGACACTAATACCAAGATCCTGTCCCCTCAGCTCAAGAGAATTAGAAACCAACTAGAAGCACATGATGAAGAGATATGGAGAGAGTGGACATCCTTGACGAAAGCCACTTTGAGCATCAATCCACTCAGAATTCTTCCCATTAATAATGATGGAAAATCTCACATCTACAACACATTCCATGAGAAGGTTAGAAAACATATAAGGAAATCCATACCATTTAAGAATTTGATCATGTGCAGGCCATCCCATGCTATCATAAGCCTACTCCATATCTAGTTTTAGAGCCATCATCTTCTTGTTCTTGGATATTTTGAACTTGTGAAAGATCTCTTGAGCCACCAAGCAATGCTCAGAGATAGACCTTCCCGGCATAAAAGCCATTTGCTCTTCAGTGATTATTTTGGAAAAACACCTCTTCAATCTGTTAACTAGAATAGTGGCTGCAATTTTATAATTAGTCTGGCATAAACTAATCGGTCTGTAGTTGTATGGAGTCAAAGGGTTTTTGATTTTAGCAATCAAAACAATTAGAGTATCCTTCCAATTCTTACTCATATGACCAGAATTTAGGAAGCACTTAATAGCCTCCCATAATGCTTTCCAAACAATATCCCAATAGCACTTATAAAAAGATGAAGTGACTCCATCCATACCTGGAGATCTATTGTTTCCTTGCTAAAATACTGAGGCCTGCAGCTCGGTCACTGTGAAATCAGAGCTCAACTCAGCAACATCATCCTTGCATAGTTTCTGGTTCTCAGCAGCCACCGGCCAACATGATAGCTCACAAGTTCTGGATTGCCATTTAGCTTCAAAATATTGAATAAAAACCTTCTCAATTTGAACCACCCTATTCCCATTCCTCCTAGCCGTGGAAAAGTTGTAGAACAGTTTTGAGTTAGAGTCTCCTTCTTCATGCCATCTAGCTTTTTCCCTTTGATTCCACCATGTAGATAAACGTCTCAAAGTCACATTAAGCTCGTGAACTTTGCTTCTTAGCAAAAGAAGATCCTCGCTAGTCCAATGTTCTCTCACAGCTTCTTTGTTTTGAAGTTCAAGAATTTCCCTTTTTAGATCTTCCTTAAGTGTCTTCAAATCTTTGCACTTATTTTTACTCCAAAAAAATAGTGCTTTCAGCGTTCTATTAAATTTTCTCTGAAGGATAGCACTTTTATCACCAAAATCATTCTTCTTCCAAGAATGATACACAATGCTTCTAACCGCAGGATAGGATCTCCAAGTATCCTCAAATTTAATACTCTTGATCTTGGAACGTACCCTCTTATCCAATTTAAAGACAATTGGACTATGATCTGATGCCACTCTTGCTAAATACCTAGTAAGAGCTGAAGGAATTTTTTGAAGAGCAATCGAATTAACCAAACACCTATCCAATCTTTCCCAAACCCGAGAGGCTCCTTCTTTGTTGTTGCACCAAGTGAACCTTGGTCCAATACTTCTCACATCATGAAAATCTGAATTTTTCATAAACTGCTTCATATCTCCTTTGGAAAATAAGAACCTCTTACCTCCTCTCTTCTCCTCCTTGTTCAAAGTACAGTTGAAATCCCCACCAATGATAAAAGGATTAGAATCCTTCATACCCTCTTCAAGTTGCCTCCAAAGATCCTCCCTTTCTTTGCAACACTGGCTCCCATACACCGTGGCAATCTTCCATGAACCCATGCTAGGAACCAAGAGGTCCCCAATTATCACTTGGGAAGATGTATCCCTAACCACAAACGACACACTCTTCTTATCCCACACCACCAAGACCAGCAGCTGGGACATGGAAAAAATCCCAATCGTTCCCAATGAGGTAATCAACCTCCCTCCTACCAATATTAGTCATCTTGGTCTCCAAGAGACCAATAAAACAAACATCCTTTTCTCTAACCATCTCCTTCAGGTACAAGGAGGCCTTCCTCTTCCTAGAACCCCTGCAATTCCAAAATAATAAAGTAGACATTACACCCTTGCTGGCGATTCCTCCCCATTCATGGAACTCATCCTTCCATTCTTCTCTTCTTCTTGTGTCCTGTTTCAAGAGGTCCCAAAGATCTTAACTCTTTGGCAAGTTTAATCTTATTACCCCCACTGTGAGCACCCATACCAACATTCATTAAACCTGGGTCATTTAAGTTCATTCCAGTGTCTCCAACACCATCAGTCGCCTCAATGCAGCAAGTAACCGAGTCTTTCAACTCATCAGCCTCCTCAGTGTTGTTCACGGGTAGTTCGCTAATGTCATTAAGCGGAACAACAAATCTATTATTGACAGTAATTGATTGCATCTTTTCTTCGACAATTTCCTTCTGCCCACCCACTGCCTTCTTCTGATCAGGCATTTTATCAAACATCAAACCAGGAATACCTTCAGTATCTACACTCTTCTTCTCAACTGGAATTACTTTCTGCACAAAGCTCTTCTGAATTTTATTCTCCATATTATCCATCCTGATGCCTTGATGTTCATTCATTCGTTTACCACCACCATTCTCCTTAACGAAGCATTTATTCTTGAATTATACATGTATCCACGGGCCATATTCCGACTTAATCACAGCGGGATTGGCTTCAGGAATTATCTTCCTTGCTTCATCAACAACAGGTTTACTAATATTCTGATATGTAATCCCCTGAACAACCTCATCAGGACATTTAGCCCTATTATGTCCCGCACAACCACAATGATAACAAAACAGATCAACCTTCTCATACTCCACCCGTTGAAAAAACCTGCCAGCCGACCCTTCTACCCAAACTCCATTCGATAGCTTCTTCTCCAAATCAATTTTAACATAGACACAAGTGAATTCCCGCTTCCCCCATCGAAATGTATTTCTATCTATATACATCGGCATACAAAAATGAGATGTTATTCTCGCTATGTTATCTTCGTCCCAACAGTATAACGGTAAAAAAGGGAATCTAATCCAAATGGGAGCGGAGATCCCCTTGAAGGAATAAGGATCAAATGCAGGGGACCACCTATCCATACCGACAATGTAGCCACCGACATACCACGGTCCTCCATTGAGAATGTCCTCCACAGCCTCCTCCATCTTGAATGAACAAAGGATCCAGTTCATGCCAATTGACGTTAAATGGAATCTGCCAAACTTGCTCCACTGTCTTCTCAGTTCTATACTACATACTAGGAACGACACATTATTGCCCAAAACTTTAATCACAATAGAATATCTCAGAACATGTTTATTTTTTTCTTCCATATCTGAATTCAACTTAACAGCAATCCCATCTTTCGATAATTCAGCTTGCTCCCCATTAAAATCGATCTTGATGTGCTTCGGATTTGTCTAGGCTTTAATAACATCTTCCATATTTATTTATTTATTGAGATCCTCCATCACTGTTCTTCCAATCATTGACTCCATTCCAGGATTCTTATCAAGATCAAGATTAATATCCCGCTCTTGAACATTCATAATTTTTCAGATCATAATCCCCACACCGACCCTCATTCGTCTCAGAAGTTTTAGAAAAGCTAAAATCATTCAAGAATCCATCACCCAATTTCTTAGAATCAAGAATATGTGTACCTGGCATCAAAAGATCCACATTCCTTCTAGTCGCTCCATCATCCACAATCGCTTTCTTTCTCTTGCCTTCAATCACAGGGTGACGAGACTGAATTCTCTTCCCTTCTCTGATTACCACCCCATTAGCGCCTCTACCAATAGTTTGTAGAGAAACCGGAGGTCACAAAGCAGCCATGACATTAGCAGAGAAAGCCGATGATCATCCAGCGACTGCACCACCAGCTGCAAAAAATCATGGGAAATTATGATTCGAACACGAAAATGGAGTTTTATCTCTCTAGAATCCCAGAGCCTCTCTCTAGAATCAAATTACTCAATTCCAAAATTTATGCAATCCCTAAATAGATAAATGAATAGTAGAAAACTTAGGAATCCTTTTCCAAAAGTCAAATATAATAATTATGGATTGTTTGGACATATAGCTCACACTTGCACTTTGAAGAAAAAATCCTATTTGGTGTGGAGACCTAAGATGCATATACCTAGACATATCATACATGCATTTGATTATAAATTTCCAAAAGGAGAACCCAAACTTTTTTGGATTCCCAGGTCTAACGTTTGATAATTTTGCAGGGTCGCTCTCACACAAGTCCTCGTGAAAGCATATGGTGCCTGGACAGCGGATGCTCAAAGTATATGACTGGAGATACTGCACAATTCATATCGCTGGAAGCCAGGAGTGGAGGCATGGTTACACTTGGAGATAACACTACAAGGAACGTGGTTGGGTCATGTATGATTGGAAATCTTAAGAAATTTTTTATTGAGAATGTGTTATTGGTAGAAGGCTTAAAGCATAATTTGTTAGGTATAAGCCAGCTATGTGATAAAGGATACTGTGTAAAATTTTTTCCTACTAGCTGCATATTAAGCCTAAATGGAAATGATGTTTTGAATGGTATAAGGGTGAATAACGTGTATATGCTAGATTTGAATTGCATTAAAAATCATACTTCTATTTCTGATGAGTCATGGCTTTGCCATGGGAGACTTTGTCACTCTAGCATTAAAACCCTTAGGAGAATTACCCAAAAGAACCTAGTAAGAGATATACCAAAACTAGACTTTACTAAGGATCACCTTTGTGATGCATGTCAATTAGGAAAATAGGTGAAGTCCTCTTTTTCAGTCCAATAAGGATCTTAGAACTAGTAAATCATT